GAAAGTATCCATTATCTGGAGCTTGGCCCTCTTTATGGACCAACTCTCACATACTGGAAAAGCCATAGCTTTGACTTATATGGACCTTTGTTGGCAAAGTGATGTCTCTGCTTTTTAATACGCTGCCTAGATTTGTCATAGCTTTTCTTCCAAGGAGCAAGTGTCTTTTAATTTTATGACTGCAGTCACCATCTACAGTGATTTTGGAGCCCAGGAAAATAAAGTCTGTCACTGCTTCCACTTTTCCCCCCTCTATTTGCTGTTGTCAAAGGCAGTAGGTTCCCTTTGTCAAACGGAGGGAAGTGTCTTCTGGATGATGATCTCATAAGCTCTTTGCAGACCTAGATGGTGCCTCATTCATTTTCTTCTCCAATCATGCTTCATACACCCTCTTATCCAAGAAGGTCCACATAATACATTGGTGTGAGTGTCACGGAACAAAACCAGTGACCTTGTTCATATATTACCGATTTACTCAGAATCATTTATTTTCTAGATCCAAGTTTCCTTCTTAATATTTAAAGATTAATTAATCACTGGAATGAATCTAAAGCAGTATCACAATATTCCCAACATAAATTTGCACTTTTTTCTTTTTTTCCTTCAACAATGTAGAAATAAATTTGACTTTCACTGTGTTTTTTTTCTTGGTCTCTAGTATAAGTAGGCTCTTGAAATGCCCTAGTTATCTAACATTGCTCTTGAACTCCACTTAGAGATGATATACTAGCCTTTTACTAAAATATATCTGGGTATTAAAAGCCCAATTCTTTACTGCTGATGAGAAAGATTATTAACACTTTTTTTTTCCCAGCTATAATATGAGGCAATAATACCCCCTTTTACTTCCAGAGCCAGAAGCAGTATGTCATATTAACCTTCATTAGCTACTTAAGAAATGTTAATTTAGGTACATTTGTTAATTTAGGATTCTGGTTAGCTAAGATTATATGAGAAGGGTGATAAACTTGTGTGGTTTCCCTACTTTGCTGTGGTTCAAAAAATAAAAGAATGGTAAAGTATGTCCAGATACTGATTTTATTGCCTTGGTAATAAGTGCAGTGTTCAAATTAGGAGCTAGACCTGGCTAAGATGGGTCTGCAGGTGATGAGTAAAGATTGACATGGCTGGAGCAATCAAAAGCAGCCTGAAGAGGAGCCCCTAAGGTGCATGACGGGTGAAAGCAGGTGTCATCGAAAACCTGGGCCAGTAGTGGAGGGAGAAAATGGATGCTATTTCTATGTATCTAATTTCATGATGGACCTTGTCCCTTGGATATCCTATGAGATGTTAAATTTTCTGTAGTTTTTTCTTCTGTGTAGCAGCGACTTTATTTTTCCCATTTCTCCCTCCACTTACTTAACTAATTCATTCAGTGTTTTTAAAAAAATGTATTAAGTATTGTGCTCAGAAAAACAAGGATGGAGGAGATCAGTTTCTGAGCTCAGGGAACTGCTTGATTAATTTATCCAGGTTTAAAAAAACATGCAGTCAACTTTGCTGTCATTTTTCCTTTTCCCCAAGAACATCTCAGTAGTGTTATTTCTTTTTTCATAAAGCCTCTAGAACCCCTCTTGGTTTTTCTCCTGCCACTACTGTGTTCATGCACTGGACCCTTGTAGCCAGGCTGTGGCCGGAGCCTCTTGGTCTGTCTCCTTATATCTGGTCTTTCCTCCACCCTCTGTTAATTTTAGCTGTGTGTGCTAAGTCGCTTCAGTCATGTCTGATTCTTTGCAACCTTTTGGACTGTAGCCCACCAAGCTCCTCTGTCCAAGGGATTCTCCAGGCAAAAATACTGGAGTGGGTTGCCATGCCCTTCTCCAGGGGATCTTCCCGATCCAGGGATTGAACTCCGTCCCCTACATTGCAGGCAGATTTTTTTTTATCACTGAGCCACCAGAAAAGTCTTCCTATAATTTGGAACCATAATGGAAAAGTCATGTGCTTTTTAGGATAAGAGTAAAATGCCTTAGCCTTGTAATATGGCTCTCCCTGCTCTTGTCTGACTTCTACAAACCTTGTCCTCTGCTTGAATCGAATCGATCCCCCCTCATGCACCTCAGTCAGGATTGTGTGTCCCCTCACCTTTTGGGTTTCCAGCTCCGAGGATGTACAGCATGGCAGTTAAAAAGTGGTGCTCAGGGGCCAGACGTATTAATCTGTTAGCACTTACTTGCTGTGCAGTCTTGGGCAGCTTATTTAACCTCTCATGGGTACTTCTGTATCATTGAAAAGAGGCTATTAAAGCACTAAGTCCCTCACAGGATTAACTGTGTTCAGGGATGTGAAATGCTTAGAGGAGACCCTGGCATAAATGAAGGACTAGTGTTTCGCTCCTCTTGTTACTCTTATTGTTATGGCCCAAATCTTGCCCCCTACCCTGGCCAGATGTTTCACAGCTCACTGCAGATCTCAGGGTTCTTTGGGGACCTTGGCAGACATTTAGGTAGAATTCGTCTTTCCCTTCTCAGACCTTCTTTGGCACTGTTTACCCAACATTCATTTGGTAGGCAGATTTAGACCTGTTTTTTATTGTTACAAGAAATAAACCTTGAAGAGATGGCAATTCAAGATAGTACATGGTTAGTGCCAATAGAGCACAGGTTGCATAGATCACACATTGTCTGAGGGCTGGGACCCGGAGAAGGCAATGGCACCCCACTCCAGTACTCTTGCCTGGAAAATCCCTTGGATGGAGGAGCCTGGTGGGCTACAGTTCATGGGGTCACGAAGAGTCGGACACGACTGAGCGACTTCACTTTCACGCATTGGAGAAAGAAATGGCAACCCACTCCATTGTTCTTGCCTGGAAAATCCCAGGGACGGCGGAGCCTGGTGGGCTGCTGTCTATGGGGTCGCACAGAGTCGGACACGACTGAAGTGACTTAGCAGCAGCAGGGGCAGGGACAGTGCCTCCTGTGTCTTTGGTTTCCTTTCTGTGCTCTAGGCCTAGTTACTCACAAAAATAAGCCAAAATTACTATTTTTTCCTGATCCAATGGATGACGTGTTCAGAGGGTCAGGAATAGACCTGTTTACTGACATAGATGATGCACAGTCAGATATAGGGTGTTCTTACTGGTAGCATGTGCACCTGAAGAAATAAAGGAGCCATCCTCAGTTTTGGACAGGTTTGCCCAGACCACATGGAGAAGGGGGTCTGGACATCCAGAACGTGGTGGTTTATTAAGGTTTCTTTAGTGGCAGGTTGCCCAATGGACTAGAACAAAGAAGGAGGCGACAGAGAAGATTGTGGACTGTGCAGGTGTGCGTGCATGAGAGTAGACTCTGGAATGGAGGACTGGAGAGGACATCTTAAATTCAAGCGTAATTTGCAAAGAAAGAATCCATAGAACTCCAGAGTTCATACAGGTTGATGGCCGGAAAGGAGTGAAAAACCGCGGGGTTTCTTCTTTGGATGTCTTTGGAGTATCCAGATTGGGAGATGGTTGACCTCGAAGGTAAAAATACACATGCGGTTACCGGACCTTGAGCTGTAGGATGGCAGAGACCTTGCCTGTCTTCTCCCCAGTGTCTCCTTGACACACACACACCTGGAAGCTTATATATGCACTTGAATGAATGAAGGGCTGCTCACCTTGATACCTGCAGTTGAGTAAGACAAGTTGTAGACAATTCCTGCCACCTGCTTACTGATGCTCTCATTCTAGTTAGCTGGCATGCTCAAATTTTCTAAAGAGGCATACCTTTCACACCGTGGGGAGGATGCTGCATATAGGCAGCATATTTAATTCTGGGATGACTGATGGATTCGACAAGGCCCTGAGGCCATCTCTCTCCTACCTACCTTAATATAACCAGTACAACGTACCTGGGCAGCGCAGCTCCTCTGCAGAGAGATGCCCCAGAAAGCAGTTGTTCGCTCTCACTCTGCCGAGGAGTAGCAATATCCACGTGGCTTAAGGGCTCTAGCTGCAGCCATGAGCATCATCAGAAAAATATCACCACCATCCGCCAGCCTGAGATGCCACAGGGAAAGTATGAGCCTTGTCAGTTCAGTGAAGTGGAAACATTTTGCTTATTTTTAATGCTTACTTGCAGGAGAACTTCATTATGTGTTTGTATGCCTTTAAATGAGAAAGTGCATTTTTGGAAAATAATGAAAACCGACTCTTCTCCCTACAAAGGGGCAAGCTTTTCCCACTTGGGTGAATATTGCCTGCGCCACCCGCGCAAGAAGAAAGGGAGAGGTCTTGGCCAGCATCTTATTAGTCTAAAAATAAATTATTCAGAATGCAGGTTCAGATGCAGATTGCAGGGAGAGATAATAGAATTGGTTTTCCAAGCCTGATCATGCTATGAAGACATGGCGTGTGCTTTTCAGGAATCCACTTGAGTGGAATCGAGATTTGACTAATACAAACTGGAAATAATATTGCTGCCATCCAGCTTGTGTTTGAGGTACAGCATCCTCAAAATGTCTCCAAGCACCCACGGGCTCTCTAGGCTATGTAAGTGTGCATGTCTGCAAGTCTGGGTGCATTCACCAGCATTTCTTCAGAGATGCCTTTTTTTTCTCATTGTTCTTTTAAGGAAATTTCTTCCTGGAGCACGAGAGGGGCATGTCTCGCTTAAGCTCTGTCTCCCTCCTGCTCCCCCTGCCTCGGCAACAGAGTTGACCACATCAGCAGCCGACTCCAGTTGTCATGTGGCTTCTCATGTGATGCTGGGTCTGCTAGCACTTTGGAGCAAAAGCCTTTGTGACTCGGCACTCATGGACAGTAGCGTTCGGGGACAGGAGAGATTTTGGAGGGGGCGGGGAGGCCAATAACCCAAGAAACATCAGAAATAAAAGTCGCATGAAGTACTCTGATCTATGTATTATATATATTTTTTGAAATTTGATTTTAACTCTTGCTTTTTTTTTTTTTTTAATGGTTTGTGTCTGTTTTTCCCACCCCCGCAGGCGCCGAGCTGCGCTGTTTTGTGTTTCTTTCTTTCTTTTTTTTTATTCTGAAGCCAGACCGTCTTTCCTCACAGCTCCAGGGCTGCATCGCTGTGGGCACGCCGAGCTTTTCCTGGTTACCTGAGCTGCTGTTGCTGTCTCCTGGCTTCGGCTTCTCCATGGCGCACGGGAACCCGGCATCGTCGGTCTACGCAGCGCAGAAGAAGGACCTGCTGGTGGAGCTCTGGCCGGGGTCCCCTCGCAGTCAGGCGAGGGGACTCAGAGGACAGGGTGATGCGGGAGAAGACCCGGGGTGGGATGGATAGAAAGAATGCCAAGGATCGGGGTAGGAGAAGTTAGGAATTCGATCCGTCCAATGCCCACTGGTCTTCCCCAGGGCGCACCCAGCTCGGGCTGCTCCCGGGGATTAGTCTGGGAGGAAAGACCCATGGCGAGATGTGGTGGCATTTTACTTGAGAGTGGAGCTGAAGATGGATAAACCTGGTCTCTCTGCCTGCCTGCCTGCCGACGAGAAAGAGTTGGAGAAAGGCAGAGCGAGGGAGCGCCTGAGAAGAAAGAGGAGAGGCGGAATGCTGTTCGATTGTCTGCCGCTGGCCCTGCATTCTCATTCTAGGGAGGAAGGCATAATTTATAACCCAGTCCATGGGTGGAAGAACTGTAAATTGTAGTCTGGATGTCCCCGGTGCTGTCAAGGAAGAAACTGATGGGCTAGGTGACTGTACCAGTGTCCCCAGGGAGAAGATCAGCCTTACAGCATGGATTTAAATGCATGTGCATGCATGTAGAGACATGAAAAGAGGGTGATTTCTGACCAGTTTACACAGGAAGTCTGTCACTTGGCTGGATCGGGCTTGATTGCAGCTTGTATTTTCAGCTTCAGCTCAACACCCATTTCCTGACTAGCTAGAGAGCATGGCCAGAGCAGCTGCATGCAGAATTTTCTTGTTAATGTGAAAGCAGCCCTCCTCAGCTTTAACTCCTTGAAGCTCTGAATGCTCTGTGCTTCGCTCGGACTGACTGTAGGGTTTTGTTTGCTTCTTCTTCGACAGATCCCCTGTAAACACAGCTGTATTCAGTATGATGAAAAATTCTATCCAGTAAATAGAAATCTGATCAATTTAATCAAAATAAATGTATCCCAGATGACTTTGAGACCAGCTGGCTACCACAGGCTTCAGATGCTAAGCGTACAATGGAGATGAATGCAATGTTACATTTACGTGTTTCTGAATTCCCGGATCAGCCTATAATTAAAAAGAAATCCTTTTGTAGGGAAGAGGTGGTCCTACCAGCTCGCAAGGTAGATGGTTAGATTCAGGTATGGATGCTGTTCATGAGATTTGGGATCATGATGTCGCATTTCGAGGGCGTGTGCCATGTGGCAGAGCAGAGTCATGCTCCACATAGAGAAAGCCTGCATCTACCTTCCCATCTGGAGACGCGGGTGCCCTGGGAACAGCCTCTGGTGAAGTTGGGGAAGGCACCTGAGGCTTGTTTTAGATTCTGATGCGTGGGCTCTGGTGCTCCAAGCCCAGCTCAAAACTGGGGGTGAGGTGCTTTCCCAGTTGTCATGGGGAGCTCTTCTGGGACGCCTGTCTGGCCCTTCCACTGTTTGTTACTATTTCTACAAAGGCGGCTCTGTATGTTGGATTATGTTTGGCCAGCTGTTGGCGCATTCCTGCGGGTGGGGCTGGGTGGGGACCTGATTACTGTACTTGGAAACTGTAGATCTCTGTGTGGTGGAGAGCAGGGAGGGGGTGCAAAGAAAGCAGGTTGGAGAAGCTGATCTCTCTTAGAGATTTGCTCCAGGTAGTCTACAGCACGTGCAGAAAGGCTTCCAGTGGAAAGGAGGAAAGAGGGGATGATGAGGGGCAGGGAGCAATGAGGGAAGGAGAATGCAACTGAGCAAGCCCATCAGAGAGAAAAACAGACTTTAGAACTTCAAAGCTGCATAGACAAGCAGAATGTCAGCAGCTTGTAATTAGTGGTTCATGGTTGCGTCAGCGCCTGCACCTCTCCAAGAATAACTGTGTGATGTGTGCCACAGAGTGAAGAAGACAGTCATAACTGAGTTATCAAACCCAGTTCAAACCAGGGCAAATGGAGTCAGGAATTTTTCTGTGTTTGTAAATCAAATCCTCATGGATTACACGTCTAAGACTTGCTGGGTTCTGCATAATTGAAGGCTGGATTATCCATTTGTGGGGGAGGGTGGGGGGATATTGTATGTTCATTAAACGAAACTGTGAACCCTTAAAAATGCAGATGAATCGTGCATGTAAATATCAGCGCGCTCCCCTTCAATACACGGTATTTCCTCCAATAGCCCCAAGCAGCTGTTGCCAATCGCCCCGTATCTCTGCATCCACACAGAATTTGTGTTTGCTTGGCTTTTGTGCATTCACGTGGAGAGGAGTTAAAAGTTACAGGTCAGATGAAATAGGGTCAATTAAATGCGAAAAATCACATCTTAGAATTGGGCAACTGCAGCGGGGTTCTGATGTTTGTTGCTGGCCCCCGTGTAAACCTTGTCGGAGCCTCGGCGGTCTCGCAGCCAAACAGCCGTCTGTTAGGAAGCCCGTGGGAAGTCGGGGCACCGCAGTGGTGGGGAGGCGAAGGCCACGTTCACTTCCCTCCCTTGTCTCTGGCGCTTAGAGATTGCGGTGTGTGTGACTCCAGCCCCACAAAGAGCCGGTGGGAGGAGCTGATTGGTCGGGAGGCTGGGGCTGTTTACTCTTATTTGTTTTCAGCGCTCCTCCACGGCATTCATGCCGTATTTGTATTTGTGTTCACGCCGCACAATTACTCCTCGTCCCGCTTTGTTTCTCTGCCCGAAGAGAAGTCAATTTTAGTTCAGCTCCCCCGCTTTCGGCCTCCTGGGTAAAACGCGCCTACGTATTGCTTTCCCCGGGCCTGCGTTTCCCTTTTTAATGTGGATTAGGGGGAAATCGGTGGCCGGGAAAGCCGTGCATATTCAATCAGTAGGTTTTGGAGCCGCGCCTGTCAGATAATTTAAATATGTTTACTCTGGGGGTGCCGGAGCTGGCGTGGTCGGAGCCCGTGTTTTAATGTACCTCTTCGCTTTCGTCAAGGAGCGGAACCTGCCAGCTCAGAATCGTGTATTCTGTGCACCCAACAGGGTGGAAGACATGATTTTGTTTGTGTTAGTTCAAACAGCTGGTCATTAATGCAGTCCCCATTTCGCCACTGAAGTGCGGGCGGACGTGAATGGCTGCCTGATTAATGCTGTCCCCTCCGAGGGTCCTTCACCCAGCAGTCAGGCTCGGAGCAGAATAATGTAGCATGATGTGATTGCTCTCTCACAGGGTAGTATGTCATTGTGTCACCAAGCAATTGAGGTTATTACGGGGCAGGGCAGACAGACGGGACAGTGGGGTTACTAGACCGTAGCATTTTTAGAAATACAGGCCTGACCTACTTAGAGCTATTCTCTCTGGCTGGCAGCTGCAGGGAGCTTCCAGTCTTCTGATAGGCTGAGGCTGTTGCTAGGGGGGAATCAGCCTGAATTTTTCCACACACAGACTCAGTGACTGAATGATAAAAGCTGACTGGAATTAAAGAGATTTGGTTTAGTATTATACAGATGGATCGGCCCCGTTTTTCTTTCTCAAGTGCAAAGGAAGAGTGCAAAATACAGATTTTTTGTTCATCTTGTTCCTTGACCCTCTGGTTCTCCCCCCACCAAAGAACCGCCAGAGCGAGGCAGTTATGAAATTTCGGTTAATCTCTTTAAAGTCGGGGGTCATGGAAATGATGTTGCAAATGGCAAGATATTTAAGCTTAAAGACCGCTGAGAATGACTAACAGAAGGTTAGATTATTTTTCCTCTTCTGTGCACTAAACTGTTTTGAAGTTGGGCATGCATCTTTCATGCACTGTATATTTAAACTCTCTCCCCCTTTTGGGCTTGAACAAAACATTTATATAAATTCTCTTCTATCCAAACAGATAGAAGCTTGCAGTCTCTGGCTTGTTTAAAATAAGATGGTAAGGATTCCAGATTTGGACGGGGGAGAAAAATATATATAACACTTTTTTTTTTTTATTACAAAGTATTTTTTTCTGGAATATTTTGGGTTTGGCTTATTTTTCAAAAGCCAGCCTGGTGGTTGTTCTTGTGGATAAAACTTAACTGCTCCCACCCTACCCTCTTGGCTTTACAATGTACCGAAAGATGCAGGTTTTTTCTCCAGAAGAAAAAGTATCTGCTGAATTTATCTGCATATTGTTTTTCCTGGTTGCTCATAGAAGCACTGCATGTAGAGACTTCACATAATCAATTTTATATGATGATACCCCTTTTATATCTACTCCTGTATTCTTGAAGTATCTCTGAGTTTGTGATTTTTTAATAGATCTTTTCCAGAGGCAGATTTTTTTAAATAGCTCCTTTAATGGAAACTGAAAGTCCATTAGGATAAAAATTAAAACAATATATAGTAAAAATACTTTGGTTTATTTTCTTGTTTCTAATTGCATACTATCTGTGCTTTAACCACAGTGTCCTTATCTGTTCCTCTGCTGAAAGTAATCATTATCCTGCCTTTTTGATTTGAAATTAATTTTTGTAAGAACACGCTGTGATATCACAAGTACACATGGAGCTTGGCTACGTTAGGGAGAGGAATAATGTAGTTTCTTGTAAATGTCTAACATTGGATTCCTTGGCCACATGGAAAAAAAGTAAATTTAGATGTGGGGTTTTCTTTTCATTTTAGGATTTTAAGAGTATTCAAGTCTATGTGTTTTCCAATAGTGGTTATCACTTACGCCAGATATCATAGTCAAAAGAAAATAAAAAATGATCTAATGATGTCAGAGCCAAGAAACTCATAAATCTTTTCTTTTTTAAGCCAGCAATGTTTACATTTCATCATATAACTATAACATCAAGCTAAAACAGTGTATTTTCTGATGTTGTAATTGATGTTTCTTACCCTTACTGCTTTGAGAATCCCCCAAATAACATTTTTTTCAAAGATTTCCAACCATACTAGTGATTTTTCTTTACTCAATAAAATACCAATGTATATTTGTTGAATACAAGATGGCTTTTGTGTGGTGCACCTTCCAAAAATGAAGCCATTTCATTTATTAATAAGTGAACATTTTAACTCTTCTTCTTTGGGTCAGTGGATGATCACATTTAAATATTTTAAGTTCAAAGTTATAGAGGTAAAATGTCTCTTTAAAATCACTTGGGGGAAAATGTTGACCTATATTTATTAACATTTGTTAAAGGACAGATGTTTAATTTTTATGTTGACTATAGCCTGTGTCGAGG